AAAAAAAAATACATTGTATTTGCTGAATTCAATGAGAAACGTACCGAAAATGCGCGTCACAAAACCCAACGCGAACTGCGAACTGAACACGGTCAAGATCCATGGAGCTGCATACAACGTTGGTGACACTTTATTGAAACAGAAGATTTAGTTGAATTAAATCCAAATTAAAGTTCGATTCAAGTTGACATTTTCAAGTCATCCACGTGTGTCGAATGCAATAAAACGAGATCATTACCTTCATTTTCATCCAGCCATTTGTACAATTCCGGTAGTCGATCTCGGATCAAACGCGACAATTGATACAATTGCAATTGGAATTGTTTCATATCGGGCAAGTAATTGGCTCGCATCTGGCGACGGAACATCAAGTGTTTCAGTAAATTGAATGCCTCTTCCTCTTCACACTGGAAACGAATAAATGGAATATTTTAGTCTGGTGATCAAGAGAAGAAAAGAAAAAACTCATTTTACGTGATAATAAAAAAATATTTACATGCAAAAGTAGAATGCCGCAAATAAAACCCAAGCCTTGACAGTATCCAAGTTCTGGATCTAGAATTGAGTATGCTTTGAGAACGTTGAAAAGTGATAGTTGACCCACACCAAGCGAATCTTTGTAGTACTGATGGTTAGGGAACGTTCGGCCCAAATCAATGAAGATCGCGTGTTGATGTTCCGTTAGGCTTTTCAACAAGACACTATAGGGTGTGTTGTAATTGGGGAATTTCTTAACATCGACCGGTGCTGTTGTCAATACAAATTGTTCGGCCAAGTATTTCCACACATCGCCGCGGATTGTGCGAGGTACTCCCGCTTTAATTGCTTGCAATATCACTTTTGGGTCACATTTATGCGCGACAACGCCGGCTGCATTCACCTCTTTGCCGATGAATACATCCCAACGATGAACGGCCTCCTTTTCAGATGGCATAATCTCATCGTAATCCAACTTAATCTTCTTTCGTTCGTGCTCATCTTTGCGTGCTTGATTTCGTTCATTCTCTTTTTCCATGCGAATCAAGAGAATCGTCTGACGAATTGCAGTTTTCCATAATTCGCGATAGTCGTCTTTGGTACGCTTTTTCATATTAACCAGTTGCCGATTTCGCATTCGAAGCGGCGACATCAGTTTATCTGCTTCATTTCCATTCTTTGATGGTGTCACGACTCGCTGTAGCATCTCGTGACGCCATGAACCCGTTTTGCTCGATTCCTTCGGACTATTGCCCACTTTCATAAATCTAGAGATGGAAAGAAAATGGGAAGTGAGTATTAGAAAGCTCATTTCGGTTAACTCAGTTTACGAACTTACATATCCATCATTGGTGATTTTGGTTCCTCTTTTAGAGGCTTTGATGCAGCCGACAAATCCATCGATCCAGTTCTTGGCCGAGATGTGGTTGGACCGTCAGTTTCTTCATCGCTCTTTTTGAAACTATGTTCACTACTGTTTGATGACACTTTTACTTCCTGAAGAATTAAAATTAGAAAACATTTTTGAAATGGCATCTTTCATCTAAAAATTAAAAAAAAAAATTATAAAAGAAATTGATTGCAAACCTTTGTTTTGTTCTCCTTTTGAGCCAGCGCCACTTCGTCTTTGCTGTTTTTTCGTTTCAGCAAATGATCAAAAGAGCTGGTCAATGATCGCTTCGCTTTCATAAATATAGTGCTGCCGCCCAAGTATTGATTCAAAAACTCCGTTCGATTTTCGGCTGTGTCATGAACATGCCGCTGTTGACGTGATTCGCTGTGAGCGCGCAAGAGCATCATCAAAAATTGGTTTTGTTCAGCCAACGAATGGTCGGCAATCTCTTCGGCACCATAATATTTAGCAAAGATTGTATCCTGTTCATCTTCGGGTAATTGTTCGATGCGACGGAAAATCAATGTTTGTGCCTTTTTGTCATTCAATCCTTCGACATCGGTGCATAGTTTGTGGTACCACAACATTGGACAGTGTTCACAAGAAAAGACTTGGTTTTTATTACGAATTTTCTTGCTTTCCGAATGTGAAATGAACGACTGTTGAATTGCTGTGATAATATCATCGGCCACCGAATCCGATTGAACCTTGAACACATATCCAATGTAGCCATGGCCCCCATTTGCAGTGGCATCGTTTCGTGAATCGCGAATAATGATACCGAAATGATCGGAGTTTTTATGACCCTGAGAAATGCTTGCCACGTCTTTCATATCTTTGTACAACAGCACCTGCTTGCGATCGGGACTGATCAAACGGATGTCTTCTTTTCCAACCAACAGAACCATGGTGCGATTCTGATCGATTTGTGGAATCGATCCAATCGATGCAGAACGATCTCGACGTTTTGGCGTCCTGCAAACGAAAAGTAAAATTCCTTTATTGGAAAATGTTGGGAAAAAAAGTCGTCGCCATGCCCAGGCAAAACAAAAAAGTCGAATAAATAGATTAAGGCAAACTCATGCTTCGGAAAGAGTTGCCATTTAGTCGAAAATAGCCAACAACTACAAGCAAAGAATATATAACGATGCGAATAGCAAATTGAACAGTACAAAAACTAGAATAGAAATGAAAAATAAGCAAATTCGACGAAAAAAAATCGAGTAAAGCAAAACTACGAACGGCACACAAAACAGAACACAATGAAAATTGATTTCGAAAACTCACATATCGCCTTGAACTTCATCAATATAATCATTACTATTTTTGATGCTATCATTTTCAGTTTCGCTTTGTCTAGCGCTAGTTGAGGTTGCATTTGTTCCGCTGTGGTTTCACATTCATTCGAAAATTTCGACAGAAAGTATGGTCAATGGTCATTCAATGAGACTGGTTTAAGGTGAAGACACAGATAAGAGAAAACAAGTGGAAAACTTACTCGATAAGTGTGCTGTGAAGAGCTGGTGCCAAACTTTTGCGTCGTAGCATTTGACACTTTGTCGGTTGACTTGGATTGTCTTTGTCATTCTCGTAGTTTGTGTTCAGAACTCGTTCATTGTACGACTTTTTTGATTCCTTCGATTCTTTTGACTCGTTTGATCCTTTGGAGGCGGTTTCATCATCATCTTGATCATTTTCCTCGTGTTCCTCGTGTGTTTCTTCGTGCGGTGCCAATTGGCTCATGCTTCCCCGTGGGGACAATCCAGAAATACTACCATTACTACCGCGGCGTCCATATGTCTGTGGAACTTCTAAAGTATGCTGGTCGGCTTCTGAGTTCTATGCGGATGTATTCATTTGCATTAAATGCCATCGATTAAAAATACTAAATTCAAAAATCCTTTCAACGTACCTGCTGTTGATGTTGTTCTGGAAATTGTGGTTGCAATAGCCGAATGCGTTGTGTATCGTATGCCTTGAATTTTGGAAGTGCATCGTCGATAAATGAGAATGGTACACGTTTGTGGGACACCTTAATTTTACCCACGTACATCACCTCAAAGAATTGTGAGTTGCTCGGCGAAATGTCTGGCATGGTTAAATTGACCGTACTACTGCTGGCTGATGAATGACCACTTTTGCTAATGCTTAAATTACTGTTGCTATCTACGTGACTCTTTAAATCGTGCGAATAACTGCGAGATATGTGCATCTTCCGTGTCGATACTATTGATGGGCTGCCATCATGCTGTGCATTACGAACCGATTCGGAAAATTTTAAATTCGATGCTGGTGTCGAGTGTACGCCGTGCGATGCATTCAATGCTTTTTGAAGTGTTTGCAAATCACCACTGCTCGCCGATGTGCGTCCAATAAATGTTGATGGAATCGAACCAACTGATCCGCCTAATGGTTGTGGAGAGTCTCGCATCAAGTGCATCAGACTATTGATCTGAAAATTGGAATTGGAAATTGGAAGAAAATTTAAAATATCGGTTTTAAGAACACATTTATTTGATATCGTCAGTAATAAAAATGAGAAGAAAAAAAACACACTCAAGCATTCCAAGTAAATCGCTGCGGGAAAAACGTGAATATCATTAAAATTTAGCTAAGTAGGTTACGAAAAAAAAACTGGAGAAAATGGCTTTGATAGTAAATGCAAACAACAACATACTCATATGTGTGGTTACGACTCACAAAGTCATTGAAAATATTGATCACAAAATTGTACATTCGTTTCGGTGGAGACATCGATTTTCGAAATGCAACAAATGCACTTGAGTACACATTTTACGTGATGAATTTTAAATTGAAAGAAAAAGAGAGACAGAGAAATAAATGGTTTGGAAACTATGCACTTGGCGACAGAAGATATGAAACTGGTTCAATAGTCCATACACTCGGTTCACATTGATTTTAATTTTTTCTCTCTCTTCTTTTTTTTTATATAAACAAAGCTGCGGCACTCAATCTGTTATCAAATTTTTTTATTTTATTGAGGTATTTTTTCCTTACTTTTTCTATGTGGCTCTCTCTCTCTCTCTCACTTTGGTTAGTTTATAAAATAGAGAAAAAAACTCAATATATTCTTCAACAATTTGCATAAAACCATATGCATTTACATTTTCCCCGTTCGATTAATGAATATATGTATTTGACGCGAATGATAATCATTTGCCTTTTGACCAAACGATGATTGATCTCTTCTTTTGTGCTTTAGAGTGTTTTTCTAATATGTGAGCCCCATTTGGAAATAGAGAGAGAGGGAGAGGAACACGAAAACAATATGTGAGTTCACTATAATTTGAAGTAAATTAAGTTAACCATTTGTCTTTGCAATTTTGTTTTGTTTGGTTTCGATTGTATACACATTGAATGGCCGTTGTTAGAATGCGGTATTCATTGTCAATGTCATCCAATCGAGTTCACCTTTTTGCACACTCATTCGTCTCAATAGACACTCGAACTGTGTGTATTTAGCATTCACTTTAGCTCATTCATTTTAACATTGGGTTCGATGCAAATATGCAGTATGTGTGTGTGTGTGTGTGTGTGTGTGTGCCTGGTTCAGCTAGGCTCGGCTCGCCTCGCCTCTGTTATTGATATTACATTGCGGAGTGCAGCAACAGGTTCTACAAAACACCGTCTCACAAGGTAAACTATCATAATATACATTTCAATATATTTGTCGAAGCAAACTGGTCGCACACGGTTAACGACGAATATATCGCTCACGCATCGTGTTTAGATAACATTGTCGAGTGACTGCATTGCGTATACATTGAGAGAGGGAGATAAAATATGTATGATGAGAAGAAAACAAACTGAACGCACATCTATTTTGCATTTTCAACGTTATATAAAAGTGGAGTAGAAACAGTTATTTGCACTCGATGCATTGGCCATGACTCGTTAAATCTAGTCGACTTAGATTTCTTTTTCTCTCATTGCACTCCACTCTGCTATGCTCTACTCTGCCTCCCATCTGATGCAATCATTTCTGCCATTTGATAGACAAGTGACGATATGAATTCTCTCGAATAATAATGACAACATTATGAAATGATGCAGTTTCTATTCAATTTAGCACGAGATCAAAATCTGATTCTCTTGTGTGTACATTGAGATTGAGAGGAGATAGAGAGAGAGAAAAAAAGACATCATTTGTGCTGTTCGTCACCAATCAAATGTATTATTTATGTAACTAAACCGAATGCCAATTGTGAGTTTTAATTTTAAACAGTTTGACATCACGCTTCGTTTCGTTTCGATTTGATTCAATTGGCTTGCGCATTGCAACACAACCGATACATTCAGAGCGATTCGTGAAGTACAAAAAAAAACGATTATTTCACATATTGGCAGCCGACTCAAAGATTCACGTCGAAACACCCGAAAACTAATCGATCGCCTGATTCAATGTATCTGACGATTTTGTTTCTCGACGATTTCTCAGTTGTTTATTGATTTCCGCAATCTTTTTATTTTTCAAAGTTTGCATGTCTGATTTGTTGCCGTTGAAAAAAAAAAACAATCATTTTCATGCTGTTGAAATAGAAGCGAACATTAGTTTATTCAAATATTGCTCTCTTCCGGAGAGTTTTGTCGCACGAAACCAGAATTAGAATGTTTTTTTTTGCGGTACTTTTCCCAATACAATCGGACATTCAAACTAGCATTATGTTTTGGCTTCCTTGTTCCAACACGCGTTATCTTTATCGTTTATCGCGGTTTGACGCAGATGCGTTTTTTTCACGTTCCCCGACACCAGTTTTAGTGGTTTCACGTGAATTTCGACTTAAAACATAATAATTGTGTGCTATAAAAAGATGTGACATTTGCTTCCAAAAAATAAACCTGATTGAATGAGATGACAGAAAACAAGAAAAATTAAGTAAGAAAGTATTTCCAGCCATTGAAATAATCACAAATCGGCGATTAAATTGATAGACGGTGTGCTGCGTCATCAGTGTCGCACGCCCAGAAATTTACGTTCGGAATATTAGGCTTCATAGTTCATATCGAATAAATATATAATATATATCTGATTATTTCAAAAGCTGGGAATACTTTGTTATTTCATTTTTCTAGTTTTCTGTCATCTCATTCAATCAGGTTTATTTTTTGGAAGCAAATGTCACATCTTTTTATAGCACACAATTATTATGTTTTAAGTCGAAATTCACGTGCGTATACGCATAATACATTAATTTTGTATATTTCCCTCTCGATTCATCGTTTGGCACAGAAAAACATCATTATTATTTGTATATTTATGAACAGATTCGTTGTGTGGCTGGAGATTTTTCATGACTACGGGCGAGCCGATGCGCAAATCATAACTGCGTTTTTTTTTTCAAGTGTCATGCAATATTTTTTGAATTAAATTCCACCATAAATTGATGAATAAAAAAAGTTGGTCGTTGTTCGCAGTAATGTTTCACATGTTATTCTTGTAGTAGCATAGAGTTCATCGTTTCTTTTTTCTCCCCAGTTAAGGTAATGAGTCGAACGTTCTCATTGATTTATCTGGTTTTTTTTTCCTATCAGAGTATCAACGGTAATAGACATATTTATTAATAAAAAAAACTGTTGCCAATGCAAAGAACCATGAAATTTCTATGTCAACAGCAGCAAATATTCTGAAAATTAGCGATGATGAAAATCATAAATTTAAACCAGAAATGGGAAGAATGGTGATTCTATGTAATTATTTATTTACATGTGTTTTTTTCATTTAAAAAATAGCACGTTTTGCACGATAGACGATGAATTCAGGTGAGAGTGTAATCGACAACGTAAAATCAAATATGGACTAAAGTCGTCAACGAAATTGCCACACAATGCACAACCGTAATGAGTGTTTGCACATTTCATAGACGTGGTTGCCTTGGTTCAAACTCTCCTAAAGGTCAGTCTGGTTTTTATGGAGGTGCACAGCTATCGCAAACTTTTCATCTCAGACTGTATTGCAGCCTCACATTTTTTTTTTGTTGGCACTTTTTATTCTGTTGGTGTCGCTGTTATTGTTGGTAACCATTGCGAATCGACAGATGAGATAAAAATCTCATAAGTTTCAATTTAGCGTGCGCCGCCAACCAGGAATTAAAAACGAATAATAAATTGATTTGTGCATTCTTGGTATGCTTTACCACACAAATTGATGATCAATCTAAGAGAATCACGAACTTCGATTGCGATCGCAAAGTCACATAAAACGAAACCATTGCAATAACAACTGTTCTGAGTATACATTTTTTGCACGCTGATCAATTAGTAAACAAAAACAAGCTGCTTAAAACAATTGACGTAATTGAAATCATGCATGCCGAATAAATAACAGCCCAACAGCAAGGAAGCTCAATATTTTCTCTATTGTCTTTCAAAATTCTCTTTCCTTTTGTGTTTTTATTTGTCATATTACTTTGAACTTTGTGTTAAATCATGGCTTCGGGCAAAATTGTAATAATTGCGACTCGGATTTTGACTCAAGAATCTCAATGAGTTTCAATTTTTATTTAAAATCTTTTCAAACAGTCTCTAAATTGTTGTATTGTCTATCATGATTTCGTGTAGTGGCCAATTATCACATGGAGACTGCCTTAATATCTTTTTCGTTAACCACAATTGCGATGTCGATATTGTTGTATGGGGACAGACAATTTTTTTTTATTGCCACTTGCTGCAATTTAATACAAAACAAATTAATTGTTAAAGAAAGCCCTTTTCCCAACCGCAATCAATAACAATTTGATCATTTATTTCAATTGTTCATCTTGTTTAGCTTCATTGAAGCGACAACATTAGATGTGTGTTTGTGCAAAGAATGAACCATGAATTTGTTTACCACCTGGTAGTTTAGTCGCTGTTGTCAATCGAAATAAAAGTCAAGCTCATCAAGAATTTTTTTTAAATAAATGCTGAGTGTTGTTTGGAAAAATGATCATTTTAACCCCTCAATCTGTAAATTTACACTCACAACAAAAGTATGGCCAAGTAAATATTTTCTATTTAGAAAATTAGTAGTTGACATTGGATTGCATTGAGTTTCGATGATTCGACAAAAAAAAATGTCAGTCTCTTTCACCAAATCACATACACTCCATACTCAAACTTGAACTTTGCAAAGCAATAATACTGTTTGCTTTAGAATACACACCGCAAATCAACGTGTAAATATGTACATTTTCCATTAAATCATTTGAATGCCTTTCGAAGTTTATTGGTGAAATAAGCGTATATGCACATTTTAAGATTACTTTACTAGTAAATGTGCGCTCGTGTGACAATTTCGGTCTTTTGAATGCTATTAACGAGAGAAACAATTACACCGAAGCCTTCTACAATAGAACAGCACATGGGTGTCATTTAAAAATTGCTGTACAATTCGGATCAGAAGCTACTATAGTGGGATTCGTTGATTGATAGTGAATGTCGGAAGTTATATAC